AGGGCACTTAATTAATGTATTCTCTCTCCCTCCACTGTTGGAATATAGCAGAAAGTAGTTTTCCTAGCAAAATATGCAACTGGTCTGTCACTTCATTGAAACAATTTAGGATGCTCAATTTCCCTTGTAAAATTGATTCTCTCTCCTGGGAGGATGCACAAACCACAAGTGTGGACAGAAACCTCTACAAACTGTGAGCCACGTGAGACTTTCTTCCTTTAACTTGGGGTGCTGGGTATTTTGTCTCAGCAACAAGAAAAATAACTAAAACACTCTGATTCCATGAATGTTCTTTTAATTTCACTGATAATAAAATGGCAAAACAATATATTGGGCCGGGGGTGTAGCTCAGTGGTGCAGCCCTTGTCTAGTATATGTGAGGCCCTGGGTTCAATTCCCAGTACTGCAAAACAACAAATATAAACACATGTATTTGCTTATAATGTGTGTCTATATTATAAATACAGACACGTATATTTCTTTATACGTGTGTGTATTATTTTGGAGGACAATGATCAGTTTCATGCATTGTAAATTACAAAATACAAAAGGAGCTGATCTGTGTAGATTCATAGCCCAGTCCTTTGCTACAAAACCCTCACGAGCACAGCCAGTCTCTCTGGCCCGACAACTGTCCCAGTTTCCCCATGTTTACTAAAGGAGAGGGTAGGTGGCTGAGGAAAAGGAAATCCACATGACCTACTCTAGAGGATGGGGGAAAGGCTGTAGGACACAGAACTGCTGAAGTGTCAGGCTCTGAGTCCCACAGACCCTCCCTGGCCTGATCGTCCCAGGCCTCCCTGCACTGCTGGTGTCCAGGGAGCTTTGTGGGGCCACTGGGTGGCTCTCAGATCTCTGAAGGGGTTGGGTCTGAGGCTGACGGGAGAAGAGAGTTACCTCTTGCAACTGCAGTAGCTGGAGACCCAACTTGCTATGGCCAGGACACCTAGGCTGCATGTTAATACAAGCCTCGTTTAACTCCCCAGCCAGTCCGCTATCATGGGGAAGAGCATCCTGAAATTGTTTCCACCAGGGCCCGGAGTCTTACTGGCCTCACAGATACGATCCCTGAAATCATGAAGCTTAGTCTCCAGAGAAGCGGATGATGACAGAACACATACATAAGCAAGGTAACAGAGGGTAGTGAGTGACCAGAAGGAAGTGAAAGTATGAGACCTAATGGAGCCTGGTGGCCACTGAGTTGATGCTCACAAATCCCTCCGCAATGAGGCAGATTAGTCGCAAGCTGTGTTATGGAAGACGAATGGCGCTTCAAATCTTGGTTGCTTCTAGTTAAAGTCAAAGCTCCCAAGTTGTGATTTCCTCCTCTCCGGTAAAGATGTTCAAGCACACAACCAGGCCTGGCACGCTGGGGTCCCCCAGGCTCTGCATCTGTCCTGCCTAGTGACACACATGCTGACTGGGCTCAGATGCCCCAGGGCACACTTTTCCTCACTGCTGTGGCCCCAACCCCTGGCACTGTGTGGGCACGCCTGAAACCAGAGCTGTCCTCCAAACCGGAGTTCACTGTCGCCCTTAACTGCTGCTCCCCTGTGCTCTTAACTCAGCGAGTGCAAACAACAGCCCTCTCCCAGCCAGAAACTGTGGTGTCAGCATGGACACGTCCTCCCTCTACCCAAGCTGGCCACTGTGCCCTGCTGATTCTCATCTTGCACTTGGGCATGTGGGTTTCTGTGCTCCTGAGGTCTATCTCTGGTTATTTCAGTGTATTCAGCCAGATGGATCAGACTCTGAGGAGCTGGGAAGCCCTCCTACCTAAACACCGTGCGGGTGCCCACACCATCCCAAAGCCTGGTGCAGTTTGGTGCTGAGGTCTCCCTCACTCACTGCTTGCCCCTTTCCCTTGCACCCAAACCCAGGTCATCCTCAGCCACCACATGTGCCCCTGGTGCTCAGTAGAGCTGAACTCGGGGCAGCTGGGAAATGAGCCCACTGTGTCCCCATCGCTGGGTGAGGCCAGGCCTGCAGAAGAAGTCATCTGAGGCAGGTGTGGTGCCTCCCCTTCCAGTGGAGCCTCCTATGGTGAACCTGGGTCCACTCCCTGCACTGGGCCAGAATGGCCAGCCACAAAGCACGCATCCTCACTGGCATAGGGCGGTGGGAGCACCCATGGGCTTGGGCCATAGAACATGATTTGGACCCTTTACAAGCAGTGGACACAGAGGACAAGGGGAGTTCCACAAAGCTGGAAAGCATGAGGCAGGAGGGGAGGCTGGCACCAGGCTGCCTGCTTTAGAGAGGTAGGATGTGGCTATACTATGGATTTTCTTTGTTTGCACGCAACTTGCCTGGCCACCCCCCAACCCCCAGCTGCTTTCTTGTACAGCAGCAGCTACTGCCCACCACACCACGCGAATCAGTCCTCACCGGGGCCAGCGGGGGCAGCGGCCTCCACGACCAAGCCCCATGGGAGCCAGGGACCCACTCAGGACAGGGAGCCAGGAGGGGCAGGTGGCCGGGGAGGAGCAGCGCCCTCCTGTGTTCGAGGAGAACAAAGCAATTACCTGCAACAGCCACTTTGCATCAGGAAGATTGATTTGTTCTTCTGCTGTGTTGTTTCCATAGAAGCAGAGCTTAGCCTTTTAAGTGAAGATTATAAAGCTACCTAATTCATTTAAAATTAGGCTTCGAGCCTCTCAGTACTTAATGCCCAAGTGTCTCTGTGGGACCTGCTGCAGCCATTGATCTGCCAGGCGGAGCCAGGATGCTGCAGCAATGGAAAACTCGTCTGGCAGCAATCTAGTTCGCTTTATTTTTAAAATTAACTTCATAAGGAGGCATAACTCCACGAAAGATCGTGAGCATATTAGTAAATACCTTTTAATTAATGAACAGCACTGACTTTGTAAACACAGGAATGCTGGGGCACAGGCAAGACACACGCACGTTCACTTAAAGTAATTTATTGTATTCTTCCGGAAGGGTGTAAAGAGCATCCTGGGAGTTAATATCACAACACAACACTGTACACCATTTTCACCACTAGCCTCGCACTGAATTCTTTTTTAAAGAACACAGTAATTTTTAAAAATCTAAATATTTACATATTAATAAAACATATATACAGAAGATCGAGATGTTATCCATAGATATGGAACTTTATTTTTGCTAAGAAAGCCTATAAAAAGGATTTCTGAACAAAGTCTGAACAGTAGTCACAGTAAGTTAACATAAATATAATTTAAATTTACAAAATACGATTTTATGGTTGCAGTTTTGATACACGTTTCCAATTTGGGAATCCACCGCACAAGTCTGTGAGCTGAACATTCCCTACCCCTCCTCAAGTGCTGAAAACTCCAAGCCGTACCCAGCCCCGGCAGGAAGTGCTGTAAAGGTTCCTGGTGCATATTTAAGAGACCTGCAGTTCTAAGTAAATGTTTCTACCTTTGCTAGTAACATATTCATCATAGCTTAATACAGTGAAAGGTCACTAATTAATCTTTCCTATTCCCTTGAGAAATATTTCAATCTGGAAGGCAGAAGACAAATCTTTGAGCATATGCTGCAGTAAAACAAAAAACCTGGTTTGTACATAGCAGTTCATCAGACCACTTGCTAAAGCAAGGGACTGTTGTCAGCAAAGAAATTACGTATTGGCTGGAAATGGAAAGGCTACTCAAAAGATACGATGGAAATAATTTCTCTGAACCTTCCTGTAGCTTCAAAAAGAAAAATGAAGGACACACAGACATGAGCTGTAACTCTCTAGCAGTGAGACTGCTCCCACAAGCCACAGGCAGACCAGTTTTCTGTCACACCGCGGGGACATGGGGCATCTTCAGTTACTAGCTGGTCTTCATGCCACAGCGATGGCACGACAGCACCTTGACATGGTGGGCAGCACAGCCTGGCCCTATGCCCAGTGTGCATGGCAGGGCCACCTGACTCTGGGCAGCGCCTACCCTCAGCCCTTGTCTCTCGCAGAGCCCTGCAGTAAGTGCCCATCCTCAGGCTGAAGGAACGGGTGCGCGGCGAAGGGGTCACCCTGTTGACACGGCAGTTCTGAACCCTAGAGTTTGCGGGTCTACGCTCAAATTTCTTTCCCGCCAGTTTTTGGTCTGTAGGTAAAGTGCCAAACATTTAGGGCAATTTGTTTTATATAATAAATGAGGTAACGATGCAGTATTTCTAAGTGGTACTATTTTATGAAATCTGGAGGTAAACACTTATGCAAAACAGCCAGCCTCACGGCAAGATGCATCTGAAATCAATGCAGCCTTTCTCATGCTGGTCACACAAAGTGGAGGGCAAGTGTGCCAGGAAGGAAGGAACCAGCATGCACCCTCCGGCAGCTCACCTCACAAAGTCAAACCCGGACCCCTTGAGTAAAACCTTCTGTTTGACTCGTTAGGTATCAAGCAGGTAACTATTACTTCGAGCCTTTCACCTTTCAGTAAGCTGTTTTGTCACCAGGCCAATGTAACTTATGAGAAAGGGTCTTCGTTCCTCTGAATTCGTACACTGTTTGCACTGCTTGCTCCCTTACGATGGCTGTTTCTGGGGCACTGACCTTATAAATGGTTTTGTCTAACATGTCAGATCTGCCCTGTCTCCTCAAACAGCTTTTTCTTCTTCCGCACTGAAGAAGGTCTAATGAATGCTGGCTTTCTCAAACACCCTCGGTCCTGGAGAGAGCCACACCTCTTTATGTGCAGCTAACAAATCTACATTAAAATATGCTTCAAAACTCTGCACTGAGGTTACAAATGAACAGAAAAGGGGAGGAATGGTTTCTCTGCAATGGACAATCAGCTAACTAGATCACACGCTGGACTTTCAAAGGGTAACAAATCAACTTTAAAAATGATTTTTGAAAATCTTATACTAAATTGGAGGCTTGATTACCACACAATACAAAGAAGGCATATGAAACTATTCAACCATGACAGGTAAACTCCACAGAACACCCATCCCTTGCTTGAATCTGAAATGCCCCTTGGATCTTTGAAGAAGTTCAAAGACAAGAGTTACGTATGCTGATGACAAAGGTCACTAAAGTGAAAGTCCAGGCAATAAAACTTGGGTCCCGTGTTTTCTCTGCTGGTGTCAAACACACAACCTATAACAGAGACAGAACAGTGAGGAAGAGGTGGGTGGTCTACCGGTGGCTGGAGCTAGGAGCTCGGACAAGCGGGGCCCCGTGGGATGTGCCCGCACTGCAGAGCTAAGCCAGCAAGTTGTAGCCAAGGGGTAAATGGTGCTAAGGGACCGATCACAGGAATGAGAAATACGCAGCCCTCATGCCATGAACACGTGCCACTGCCACGGGTGCTGTACACTGCGCTGTGACAGAAAAGGGCTAAAGAGAATTAACCTGCAAAAGAGTGTCGTGCCACTGATGATTGTACAAAGACGCGATAAACAGGAAAAACGCTTCTTATGCAAAACCCCCAGAATTCAGGAGACAAATTGTACATATAAGCTCTCCATACCTCAATAAACAAAATAAATACAGATAAAAGTCTGGGAAAAACACCCAACAATAACTGTCTCTGGGTGGTAACTTTAAATTTTCTTCCTTATACTTTTTTTTTAAAGCGTGCAAAAGTTTGTGATGCAAACTGCTAAACCCAAATGAACCCCAACCCCACTATTCATTCAGAGCCCCGTTTTCTGTGTCAGAGGGCACTATGTGGACGTCACTTCCTCTGGGCTCTCTCTAACTGCCCACTGTCCCCACCCACATCCTCAGAGGTCTTTCTCCAGGGCCCTTGCTCTCATCTGGACCGCAGCATGGAAGGAGGTGTTCCCACCTCTCACAACAGTCCAGGCAGGAGCATGTGCATCAAGACCAACACAGGCCAACTCCCGGTGGCCACTCAAGACTCAATCAGCAGCTCCAAAGGGGAGTAAGTCAAGAAAACACATTGCTCCGCCATGGAATCTGAGTCCATTTTCGTTAAAACTAGGTAAGCAGAAAGGCGCTTAAATGCAGTTGGTCAACACAAATATCATCCGACCACTGACTATGATCCTCTCTGACTCACAGCGATAGTTAAGGGTTTCCACCTCTTCCCTGCCTCTCCCCAACACATGCAGAATTGGAAGAGAAAAAAAGCCTGAAAATGGTACTGAAGGTGCCGATGAACCTTCCCAGAGGGCAGCTGTGGCGGGCTCAGACCCAGCACAGGGAGGGTTCTCCTCGGAAAGCCAAGGCTGCTCATGCAGAGGGGAGGCTGCGCGCGTGGAGGACGTGTCAGGGTGCGTGGGCCAGCAGGACTGGCAGGAGTACCGCCTTCAAACCAGCTAGCCTGGGGGTCTCACTTTAGAGAGGTGACCAAGAGGCATGCTAGACTGTGAAGATTGGTTCACTTTATTACTGCCAAATTTAAGCATGAACTTGTGACATCTCTCTCCCTTTTCTAAAACGATAAACAGTCTTACTATCACTCTGTTTAGTAATTTTTATTAAATATCTATCAGTAGTCTAGTGAAAAGACCTGAAGATGTGTTCTACTACTTTCTTAATTATACCTCACAGTTCTGGGCCAAATCTGAGAAAACACTTAAGTCAAGGAGCTTCAACTGTAGGGGCCTTTGGGCAGACTGGCGGCACACATCTTATACCCGCGGGCACTGCAGGACACCGGGACGGGCCCCTGGGGGTCAGCACATCCGTCATCTCCAAGCGTCTGTAAGGAACATGCAGAAGGATGTGGCTTTGGCTTAGGTGTGAGAGAGCTCTACAGTGCAACGGCCGGAGTCCAGGGGCCTGAGCTCTAGCTGGGCCATCAACCGGCCGAGACCTTGGCAAAGTCATTTAATGTTTCTGGGCCTCAGGCTTTTTTCCTGTAAAATAAAAGGACTGGATAAAACGAAGGGATTGGATTAGATGGTCTCTCAAGTTCCTTCTCCTTCTCAGATTCCTGGACAGTTTGTTCAGTTCCATGAGGCTGTTCTAGCATCCCCTGTACTGTTTTGTCATCTGAAACATCTCTGGAGGCAGAGTCAAACACAGTCAATTAAAGGCAAAGGCATTATTTCAAGGGTGTGGTTTTCAAACACTAACACAAAGGTCCACTGAGTCACAAGGCAGAGAAGACAGGTGGTATCGATTCCAGGGCCCTGAGGTGGCACCCTGAGAGGCACAGCCCCAAAAGCACCTGTTCCACCCAAGGCCCCGGAGACACGGTTACATCTTATTAGTTTCCTACACCTACCGGGATCAGGTGAGGTGATGAGAACAAGGCCTTTATGTCCTGTCTCAATAGTCACACAATGACGGACTGGGAAGGAACAAGAGAGATCACACACTTCAATTCTCTTAATTCACAGTGTGAAAACAGCGCAACAAGAAGAGAATCCCCCTTCTACCACGAGTGTGTGCACTAAGAACCTGATATAACAGGTCCTTCCCACACTATGTGGCTTATTTCATTTATTTGTCCGTCGATCTGTTGCTTAGCCACAGAGAAAGCGATGGATCATTTACACAAATGGTCTTCCTTGCCACTCTGAAGTTCACTTGTGCGTGCCCATCGACACCCGTGGACTCTGCCTGAAACCCACTTTGGGATATGCGCTGCCAGTGAGCTTGTGACCACCAGGAACTGTGCTGAGAGCTCTGCCCCACACTAGATACTCCTCTACTACTGCTGAACTTAATTACAATCTTATCCCCTAAATCAACAAGGAAAAACAGTGAGTTGAGCCTTCTCAATCAGAGGTTTTTTTTGTTTTTTTTTGGGTGCCTGAATTCTATGGACGGAATCTTCAGGTGCTCCTCAGGGTGGTCAATGAAGGATGTTGAGGCTGACAGGGTACAGATTGACATGTGGCTCTGTGATCAGACCCACCCCTGGCTCTCAGAAAGCAGGCAGGAGGCAGGGTCAGAGGTTTACTGGAGCAACACCATGTGCCGCCATCCAAGCTGGGCACCATGGTGTGCAGCCAGCTCTGTGACACCAGGCTGCATACAGCTGATCGAGTTAGGACCAGGAGTCGCACTACGCTGGACGGTCCGGCTTATTCCATCAGCCAAGTGAACCTCAGCAGACACAGGGTGCCCTGTGGTGAAGGGCAGGGGCGGACCATTCTCACAGGCTTTCTGAGGTGGGAGAAGGCAGAAGAGACATGGATTTGGTCACATAAAATTGGTGATCTCTGTTCTAAAGTGAAATAAATTTCACTTCATTTCACATTAAAAATGTTTTTTTTAATGCCTAAAGGCTGGAGAGGCAAATTTTGTGATACTAAGTTCTCAGGATTGACATTTCTGAGATTATGAATAGGACGGCATATGGAAAATGTAGCTTTCACGCTCTTATATTCGATGGAAGAAGTCTCCGAACCCCGGGTCTTGGGAGGCTCTGACCCATACGCAAGCTGCTCAGGCACCCTCCTCTCTAATGTTAAAAGCATTTCCAATGCAAATATTCTCATGTGTCATATTTCTTAGCGGTTGATGAAAATGTAAATGTGTTTTACCTGTCGGTGGCAGAGAAACGCTGTCCAGTCTTTCATCAGCGTCCGCTACCTCTGCTGGTCACAAACATAAAACACAAACTTCATTAGTCTCTGGGAGCACATTCACTGTACTGAGAACAGCAGTACAGTTAAAACATCTCCAGTGTACGTGGCGGTTTTTACCTCTCTCTCCTTTCCAGAATCAGCCGACTCATATAAGATTTTAGAATCATTATTTACATAACTTTTTGATGGTGATAATGACACGGATCAACTTTCCTGTATTAAAAAATTTTACAGGGCCGGGGATTTAGCTCAGCAGTTCGGTGGCCTGCCTCACAAGTGCAAGGACCTGAGTTCGATCCCCGGTACCACAAAAAAAAAAAAAAAAAATTTTTTTTTACAGTCCTACAAACCTTACTTCAATTCACTTATTCACATGGGCATAAGCATCCAACAAGCATCTGAGGTAGACTGCTTACGCATGCCATTAAACATGCTCCAGACAGCAAATTCCTGTTGTAGAACTCAATCATCAGCTGTGGAGCACTCTGGTGGGAAGGCTTTGGAAAATGAGAGGAAGAACCTTTCTTGGGAGCTGCCCATCTAACCGGGACATTCATTCGGTCACGAAGAAAAATCATACAGAAGAGTTGTGTTATTTCTTCGGAAACATCTTTCCTTCTGTGATTTAAAATGCAAACCTTGCTAATAGGGGTTCCAATCTCCTTAGGAGTTTTGCAATAGCAGATCCTTCAGTCATAAAACCCTCCACTAACTGCAACAAGAAGGGGCCATTCATCTCAGGTCGCCCCTAAAGTCTAGGAAAACACTGCCCTGGGCCACTGGAGTGCTCTGGGTGGTCCCCTCTAGGTCCCAGGGTTGGGGGACCCCCTGGCAAGTACGCTGGCTGCACACGTGAATGCCGCCTGAGGTGGGCCTTCGTTCTGGGTTGGTGGAAAGCAAACCCCACGTTATGTTCTCTTTTCTATTGTTCTGTGTTTTTGCTTCAAACACAGCAGAAGTGATCCAAGATTTCCATGAGATAAGTGAGTCAGGAGAACAGGCAACTTAATCCAAGTATGAGAAAGTGACAGGGCCAGCAGCTGGAATCAGGTGAGTCTGCTCTCTTCAATTCTTCGCTATTAGTAGCTCAAACATCTCATAGGCTTTATTTTAAAATCTTCCAGTTTTAGCTCATTTTATACTTTAGTAACTTTACGTGCCTAATTGAGTTCCAGTTAGTTGCAGCAAAAATCCGTGTGGAGTATACATTGGTCTTCCCGTTGTAATTCAGCTATCCTTAGATTCTAAACAGGCCTGTGCAGTTCTGTGCTTCCATCAGAACAGAAATGTACCACGGAAATTACACGTGAATCAGCTGACGACAGCTGCGGGGGTGAAGGGTAACACTCTGTTACTTACACTTGATTATAGCATCTGTCTGCAGCAAGTTCATGATCTTTCTTCCCTTGTGACAATCAAGTTGTAAAATTTGGAAAAGACTGAGCAAGTCCAATAAAAATGTAATACAGTGACAGCTTTCCTCTTGGATCTAACACTAATAATAAATTGTGATTTCAACTCCGAGGAAGTAATCTAATGAAAATGATAAAAATCCACACCAGGAAAGCAATCATTCCAGTTAAAGAAAAAAATATTACATGTGATGAGAGCCCCAAGTGAATTCCTATTTGGATTTGCATAACAGCCTTTCAGACAGGTGGGGGGCTTCTTTTTTCTAGAGGCACTGCTGCCTTCCCCGAGTGCTTAGTTGATTATCTTGCTCAGCCAGAGTCTGTACCTAATTCCAGGAATTGAACCAAATATTGTAAATAAGGCTGAAATTGAGGAACAGATACGAGACGTTGTTTGTATTATCATTTAGACAGAAAATAATCAGGGCAAAAAGCATGAAAATGAGTAACATTATTGATCGGCTCTTGGTCCCTTGCAGTAAGTGCAAGCGGCTCTAGCTGGATTTGAGCACGAGCTGAGGCGAACAGTCCCACATGTGAGCAGACAGGCTCAGTTTGGCAGCTCATGTCCGATGCGCGATCCTCACGGTCTGTGAAGCAGCGCTGCTTTGTCTCACGGCCACCTTCCCCTCCTCTGTGGCCAACAGAACCTACTTGAAACACACCATCATGAAGGTGGATCATCTAAGCCCAGCGACCAAAGCTGAAAGGTCCCAAACGAACAAGCGTGGACAATCTCTCGAGCCCAAAGGGAAAGGCCCCCGAGGAAGGGCAGGCTATGGTTGGTCTCATTCTGGAGAAACAGGCGAAGGCAGGGGAACCTGTGCATCTGAGATGTGTTACGAACAGAAGTGCTGTGGTCACTGAGAACTGCGTCCACTGGCCAGTGTGTGGGAAGGAGGAGGGGAATGTGGAGGTGCGACCCTCACTGTGTGCAGGGGCGCTTGCTGGTGGGAAGAGGGGAGGGAAGAGAGCCAGGACTGATCACTGGTCTTGGCATCCAACACAAGGGCAAAGCTCTCTTACAGTATGGGCCGTGTGGCGTGGTGAAGCACCAGAAGAAGGAAATGTAAATCAAGTCTTCAACTCCATCCTGGGGTACAGCAAGACTGTTTCTGGCCCTGGAATACCCCCTCTGACTGCTTTCAAAGTACTAGAGATTGAATGCAGAAAGTACTGAGCTGTATTTCCAACCTTTTTTATTTTAAGACAGGGTCTGGCTAAATTGTCCGGGCTGGTCTCAAACTTGCAATTTCCTGCCTCAACTTCCTGAGTAGGTGGGATTCCAGCTCTATGCTAGTATGCCCAGCTCTTAATACTTGAAGTGTTCAGGTCCATCAGGGACTTTTGGGGGGTGGGTACCAGGAATTGAACTTCCTCATCCCAACATCAGGGACTATTTTTTTTGGTACCGGGGGTCAAACTTGGGATCTTGCGCTTGCGAGGCAGGCGCAGTACTACTGTGCTAAATCCCCGCCCTCAGGGACTTTGAATCACTGTCCTCAGCAGGAGGCACAGGCTCCAGAGACAGCACAAAGCCCTCTTATTTCTTTTTGGGTGGTCTCACAGCTCTTCAGTAGTAACCTAGCATCTGGGATTCTACGCGTGGGTTCCCCATTCCCTCAGGCTCCCTGCAGGCTTCACATACTTCAGTCAGCTTCCTGTCACTGTGACAAATACCTGAGACAAGCAACCCAAAGAAGGAAGGCTTCACTTTGGCTCATGGTTTCAGGGGTTTCAGTCCATGGTCACTTGGGCCTACTGCTTGTGCTTGTAGTGAGGCAGAAACCTAGTGGGGGAGGGCATGGTGGAGGGAGAGCTGCTCACCTCATGGCAGCCAGGAAGCAGAGAGAGGAGAAAGCCAGAGAGGAAGGGGGTGGGTGCAGGTATAGTATTCAAGGTCAGACTCCCATGATTTGCTCTCTGCAACTATGCCCTGACTCCTATTTTCAATAATGCCATCAAATTATAACCTTGCCAATGGACTGATCCACCCATATGTTAGAACCATAATGATTCAATCACGTTCTGGAAGTCCCACCTCTGAGCACCTGAGACTTTGGAGCACTTCTGATCTAAACCAGAACAGGCCGTCAGCCCTGACAGAGCAGCCATGTGTACCAGGACCATGTCAGCCCACCTCAAAGTCAGGGGCACGACTGCAATGCTGGCGTTTTTTTTAGTGTTTCCAACAAAGTCAGAACCAAAATGCTGGTTCCTGGATATGTTAGTCCTTTCTGTTTCCTTTGAGAAAATTTTAAATTTTCTTCACCATGATGTGCTTTAAGATTTTTCTCAAACCTAAATATATATTTAGTGTCTATCAATGCTAGGGGTCAATAATTTCCCCCTGCAAATCACATGGGGAAATGTGAGAAACACCTGAAGCTTGCAAGGAGCCTGAGGGAACTGATGTTACTACCCGAAGTGCTGCACAGACCACCGAGAAAGGAAGAGGGCTTTGTGCTTTGCAGCACGCGCCTCTTGCCCAGGAGCCTGATTCCAGTCCCCAGTGGACCTGAACAGTTCAAGTTTTAAGAGAAACCTTCAGGCTCATGACGGTTCATGCCTGTATTCCCAGGTCTCAGGAGTCTGAGGCAGGAGGACTGAAGTTTGAGGCCAGCCTGGGACAGCAAGACCGTGTCTCAAAATAAAAATGTAAAAGGGTAGCTCACACTTTCTGGGTCTAATCCATGTAAACAGAAGTTCTTCTATATTTAAATGGTCAAGACACCCAGCACAGTGTCTAGAAATTCCAGGCCAACTCAGTACTGGCACAGACATCACTCAGGCTTAAATCTGAAATGTGACTTAGAGTAAAAGTAAGGAGACTCAAATGCAGCAGCAGCAAAGGACGTCAGTCGGTGGGTCGGTGGGTCGGTGCTTACTCAGGGAATGCCATCCTTCAAATGCAAAAGTTTCTTTCTCTTTCAAGAGGCTGGAAGCTAGCGGAGAAGGGGAAGCGATAACAGGGCTCTTTTGTAATATATAAGACAGAAGCAGGGGAACTTTAGGTACTGAGGAATACTGGAAAGAGTCCTGCTAGGAGGAGGTCACTCTTCCCGGATGTTTCCTAATGAATTTACTCTGACTGAGGTCAGACAATCACAACAGGAGACTTCAAACAAGAAAGAAACCAGGGAGGAAATACAACAGCACTAAGGTGAGAGGGCCCAGAAGGCAAAGAGAGAAGGGTATGAGGAGGAAGGAAGCGGGCTCTGGGACGGCTGGAAGCTGTCACCTGAGGACAGACCTCAGGAGACTGGGACTAGGCAAACAAGGTCCTCCTGTGGTGGACTGCTATCTCTTCCTTTCTGAAATTACTGATCGCTTCACTGATTTATTTAACATACATTTCTTAAGAGTCAGCCCTGTCTCATACACTGTGTGTCACTTCAAACATGGCTCAGGCACAGTCCCCTCCTCAAGAGCTCATGGTCCACTACAGAAAGCAGGAAGATACCCCTTTGGGTGACAGATCTGAGTTCTAGGGCCACCCATGAAGGATCCAGGAGAAGGGAAGCTTCCCGAAAGACGGAGTATTTCCCAAGCAGAGGGAATGGATGAGCACGTGAGACCAGCCCATTTTGGGAGCGAGGAGAAGGCCTGTGGCTGGTGGAGCCTGAGGCCTATGATGGGAGACCAGGCTGGGGAGGAGGCAAGGATGGCTGGGAGAGCCTCGTGTGGAACGATGCCACTGTTTGACTATGTCCCCAAAGTCCAGGTTTTGTAGTCTTGTTCTATTATTTTTACAGTATCAGCATCTGTGAGGTACAATGTGATGCTCTGCAGTAGGTACACACCATGGAATGGCTAACCTGAGCTAATCAACACACCATTACCGCACATGGTTTGTGGTAAAAACAAAACCTACTCTTAATTTTCAAGCGTAAGAGTGTTATTAACAATTAATGCTGTCAGTTACCACATCATGCAAGAAGCTTATGCCTTCAAACTGAAAGTTTTGGATTCTCTGACCAACATTTTCCCAGGGTGACTCAGCCTGGGGACTACGCTCTGTGGCTGTGAGTTCCACACAGTGAGTGTGTGGGGTTCGTCTCCCTGTGCCTGCCTTACACTACTTGGCAAGCCATTCTCCAAGTTCACCCACATTTTCTTTACACACTCATCTGCTGGGGGCACCGACACTGATTGCTTTTCTTAGCTATTAGGAAAATGCTTCACTGAACACAGGAGTGCAGACATCTCTTCATTACACTTATTTCGTTGTTTTTAGTTATGTGCCTAGTAGTGAGTTTGGCAGTTCTATTTTAAATTTTTTGAGAAGCCTCCATACTGTTTTTCATAACAGTACTGACTTACAGGAAATTTAGAAATAATACCTACAGCTTTGTGGCCTCCCAGAGACACCAATCTTGTAGTACAGGAGAAAACTGTTCTCGAAGGGTCAGCTGGCCCCTGTCACATGGGGAAGCTGCGACTTCAAATGACCAAATCTAAAGAGCAACAACCCAATTGGTGCTCGCTTTCCCTGGAAGAATAGTCCCCAGATCATCAAGCTCAGCTTTCACACACACACACACACACACAAACACATGACTTAAAATTCCTCCTTTCTGGTAGGACAATTTTAGCTTATTTTACCTTAAGTAATTAAGACTTTTATAAATTCATTCAGATACTAACGAACAAAAATCAAGAAGCGAAAGAAGCAAATCACAAAGGAGAACCCAGTTGTGTACACGAGACACATTAGACCACAGATGCGATCAGCAGTCTTTTCCACTTGTACTACTGAAAGCGAGTGGCTCGACATCATTGTAACTATGTAATCTTAAGGTGAGTTTCAAAGTTCACTCGAATAAGCTTTAAAACAGCCAAACAGAGAACCCTACAGAATGCTCAGCATCTCCTTCAAAAGACAAAGGACACTGCAGTACCCCAGAGGAAAGCACTGTGCTTACAAAGGCTGAGAATGCAATAAAGTACTTCCGCAATTACCTTCTCACAATTTACTCATACCTGAGCCTCTTTTCAACCTTCTTCTGGCCAGTTTAATTTGATCCTGTAGAATCTGTACCCAGTCTCTTGGGCCAGGAAGTTTATCCACATGGTTAACAGTACAGTACTTTTCTGTGAAGACTGAAAGGAAATGTGGAACACTGTTAAATACTTTAGCAAGTACAGCATGCAGATCTTACACAGGAATACAGCTCGAAAGTTTCTTTGTCACTTGCTTTCTGTTTTGGTGGTGCTGGGAACTGAACCCAGGAACTTACCTGCACTCTACCACTGGGCTACACCCGCCACCCCCAAAGTCTGTCTCTGCCGTGTGTCTTCCACGCCTGCACTCCGTTCCTCCAGGGAAGGCGGTGATCAGCCAGCTGGGCAATGGCTACAGACAATGAACTGTCTCAAAATGGAACTGGCTATAACGCGAAGCAGTTAGCACAGAAACTGCTCTACTTGTTCTGTATCTGTGGGCCAGGAAGGAAAGGAAATGCCTCCTAGGGATCTACCGGCCTCATGACAGAGTTCAGCAAATGTATTAAAGGACTTCACTTTTTTGTTGTCAATTCAAAAATAAATGCAAAATTACACAAAAGATGCTGCTCATGGCGATTCCTGCTAATTCAATCAGTACTCAAAATAAATAATGCAGTATGTCTTAATGAAATTGTAAGACATGGTCCGATATAAATTCACTTTTACTTCGAGTCAATTCCTTGCATTTATTAGCTCCAAGAAAGAGCTACCTTATTGAATACAAAGAAATGAAGGAGGATCACATGGCGGGCGGGATGAAGGGGAGGCAGGACAAGGATCTCAGGAGCGTGCACACTGCGTGGCTGCCCGTGGGGGGCTGAGGGAGACCTCCTGCCTTGCACCCCACTCCAGAGCAATTGTAAACTTGCCTTTCTGACCTGCTCTCCATGCAGTCAACATCTAGGCTGTAGTCACATCACACTGCCTTCTTGGTATTTAAAATACTGGTGATTTTAATGTTTCAAAAGGTTTCTTTTAAGAAGAAGTGACCAAGGAAAACATGGGCAGATTCAACTATATATATAAAAATTACAATTTCCACTGAATGAAAAATAAACATTTCAATAGAACAAAAGCTAGCTGCACTAAAATTTACTGAAAATGTTCAATATATACCACCAAAAAGAGTGCATTCAAATAAAAGAGCAACCTCAAAAGTCTCCGCACCTAAATGGACAGAATATATGTTCAACATAAAATACTGGGAAGAATGCTCAGTTTATATGTAAGCCAAAGAACTTCAAAAACACTTTATACCTATTAAATTAGAAAAATAATTTTAGAAAGGCTACCACGTGATATTGATAAAATTGTGGAAATCTGGTATAGTCAAATGTTACTGACGACATAAACCAGAAAATCCTTAGGGGAAATATTAGTAAGATATTAAAAGTGACATAAAACTGTTAATACTTTTGGACAGGTAATAGTACTTCTAGGAATTTATGCTAAGAAAATAATTTGAAAGAAGAAAAAAGCCATATATGTAATCTCACTGTAAGCAATCCAATGGTGTGGGAAGAGCTCAAGACAGCCAGGAGCCATGGAAAGGATGAATCTGCAGGGCCAGAGTGAGGCAGAGGTCCCTCTGAAAAGCCACTTCAGTTGTCCCAGTTGAATCCGCAGACAGAGAGCTGCTGACTCTTTTGGAGGCTGTGTGTGTGTGTGGCAGTTAAAACAATGAGCGAAACCCATTAACCAGACAAACACAGTGAGCAAGAAGAGCAGAGGCAGGCACAGAGCCACAGGCAACAAAGTGCTCGGAAGGAAAAGATGGAGGCCAAGGAGACCATGAAAGAAGTCAAGCGGGCTTACAAAGCTCTGCAGTGGTTCTACAAAGGGGGACCAGCAGTTTAAGTGGAGAACGGGGGCAGGCAGGGAGGTGTGTCAAGTGTCCGCTGAAGACCACTGAGGGATGAGAGGGAGCGACCACAGCATAGCCTCAAAACGCCTGCCCAGAGAGGAGGGGTGAGCAGAGGAAGGCTTGAGCATGGTTTGTAGGATGGAGCAGCCAATATGACAGGAGGCTAAGGAACAGGAGAAAAAGGAAGGGACCCTTCAAGGAACCATCCTGAAGGAGCGGGGTGTGGGGATCCAGGACAGAAATGGAGGCGCTTCCCGGACAGGAGGGAAATACTCTCTGCTGAAGCCAGGGACAATATGAAAGAGGCTCTTGAGGCTCAGTGAACTCAATGGTGAGGAACCATGAAGAAGGAGAATATGGGAACTTCTGGGATTGTCCCTGAGGTGAATAACAAAAGCAGCAGGCTCAGGGCAAGCAGTAAGGCTACCAGGCAGCAGACGGACAACAGCTGTCTACACGGGCAGGGTGTGCTCTCCCTGGGGACCTGGACACTCAGGACACCTGATGGGAAGGCCAGCCTAGATCAGAGCAGGGACATAAAGCCACTGGAAGAGGTCGCCTAGAATGAATTCCTCACCTTTCCACCCTCCAGTGTTTCCCTTCAATTGGGGAAGAAAGCGAGGCCAAAAAAAGGCTCCCAGCCTCGGGGACACACAGATATCAGGACACCATGACATCAGTGGCTTGGCAGGCTGTGGTCAGGGAAGGGCAGAACATCCAGAACACTCCCGCAGCAGCAGTAGAGTGGCTGTATGGCAGAACCCTAAGGTGTGTCCCATGGAGTGTCCAGAAACAGAGGTAAGCGGCACCACAGATGAGGTCCAGCACACGTGGACAGCAGAGCGATCCAGGATGACAGCAGGTCCTGGGAACGGGAGGGAAGAGCCTCCAGAGAAAGGTTCACTGAGGCCCCGAGCAGAGGGGTCGTGCTTAGGAAGCAGAGCTGAGGCACATGAATACTGTGCAGGCTGCCCCACAGAGGTTACGGGGGACGGGACAGCCTGCACCTCCTCCTGAGACATGGAGCTCCCTGTGGTGGGAGAGGTTCGCTATCAGATCTCCCACGCCGGGTTACAAACGACCTCAGGCCTCCCTCCCTAGCATAGCACCTTGTATGAACAGAAACTCAAGAAATATGTGATGCATAATCATATTTCCTACTTCTGTTTCTAATGGAAGCAAAGCAGGAGCTCACACATTGAGACAGACAAACAGGGTAGAATGGCCCATCTGCATTAGCAGAAGTCTTGATTGGTAGAATATATTTAAACAATATATTTTATTACACTCACATGCCCCAGAAACACTAACTGGAGAATTGGCAAAAAGTCCTGATGTTCTGTTTTAATAAAAAAGTATTCATATTCAGAACCCTTTTCAATTATATGAAAATGTGTACTACAAAAATGACTCAATATACTATCTTGGCAGGTAAATATCTTCCCACTTTTAAGATTATTTACACAATTAATTCCCATAGCAACCTCTCTTTTGTTAGATTGTGAAATGCATGTGTACAAATGATCTCACATTATAAAGTAGCTGTTCCAAAATAACAACGTAGTCTGGGCTGTGCCAACTTCAAAAAGACTCCCATGTGTACACAGCGAAGCTTGGGGGCTAAGGGGAGGCTGCGGAAGGTTTTCTCCAACTCTGAGCAGGGATGAAGGTCAGACTTTATAATCTGACCTTGAGCTCAAGTATTCTGTCACTCACTCAAAAGGCAACTGTTTCCGCTTATTTTTTTCTCCTTACATTAAATCTTCTCTGGTTTCAAAAGAAGGAAGAGGGAAAATCATCTCCTGGGTCTGTGACTGAGACCTTTGAAGGCACAGCTCTAGGCTTTTTGAAAAATACCTACAGAAATAAATTTTCTACTGGGTACATTATCAGCATTCTGGTTCATAGATTATATCCAAACTTAAAAGAGACTTTAACTAGAATTTATCTACTGAAGAGGAAATTTTATTTTCTCCATGACAATCGAAGATGTGGTCCTAGAACAAGGCCAAGAGTTTGCCATGGCACTGACGTGAAAACAGTCAATATATGCTATGTGAATAGAGGTATGGGATAAGCAGAATATATTTTTGCTTTCTGAATCTATAGCTAAAGGTCAAGCTATTATCCTGGTAACAGTTCCATTAGGAGTAATGATGTGAAAAGAGGTACTGCATTAAAGCAGTGGGTTTCCTGCTCTGTTAATAGTGGGTCATTAAGAATCATAGTAGGATAATTTGCATTCATCCTTACAATGCAGTAAGTTCTAAAAAGAAATTTCCCTCCTTTCCTATTTTAATATATTAAGGAGAAGTGAGGGCTAATTTTAAATCAGTCCAAATAATTTGAACAAGTGGAATGAGGCCAACAATTAAACTAAAAAAAAGAGTTTAAAAATCTACTCTGCTTAATATTATGTGACGTCCCAAGGCACAGAGAGATGTTAACTCACCAGGGAAATGACAAATGCTCGAGTTGATCCATACACGAATAATGACTTTCCAGATGCTTGCATTCGTCTGAACCATGCCCTTTAATTATTTATAAATAATGAATAAGCTTGTGGTGGCTGGGCAGATCTTTCCCTAGGAATGCAGCTTTTAATAATCATCAATGAAGTGGTGCTGGGCAGTGTCTGACATGCTGACTGCACCAGCTGAGAACCATGCAGACTGGCCATGGAAGGGCTTCTCATTAGGACGTTTCTGGCTAGTTATGATGGAAAAGCAGAGTAAAGACTCTTCAAGGATGTCCTGTGTCACACACACTTAAGGAGCAGGGGTGGGTTTATGGAGCTTTAAGTTTGCCATGGAATCTTCCAGCAACTCTGACCTGCAGCAACAGCCCACCTTCGGATACCACGGCTGAGGTGTAAATTGTCACACAGACAAGTGGGAACCAAGGCTTCCGTCAACTGAAATGGAAATCTGTGTTCCTCAGAAGACCTGCCAAATTCTGAGGACCTGAGGGGATGAGGGGAAAGACTGCTGAGGTTTTGGGTGCCAAGCAGGGCGACACAACTGGGAACCCCTTACAGATGGGGAGATGCAAAGCGAGAGGGCACCTTGGGCCTCTGAGTGAAACAGCTCACACCCTTCCGTCATCCTCCCCCCTCCTACTCTTAAAGCTAGTGTTTAAGCAAGGTGTGGTGGGGTACACTTATAATCCCAATACTCCAAGAGACTGAGGCAGGAGGATCAAAAGGTCAAGGCCAGCCTGGGTAACCTGTCTC